TCTGGTGACATTGTGGTGTCTCTCCCTGTCAGATGCCACCTCCCCGGGCCCGGCGGCGGCGGTGGCCCTGGAGCGGAACGTGTCCCCAAACTTTGTCCCTTTGGGGTTTCTCTCCCGGGTTTGTCCCCTCGCTGCCACCGCCCCGGTGACACTCCGGTGACACTCCGGTGACACTCCGGTGACACTGTGGTGTCTCTCCCTGGCAGATGCCACCTCCCCGGGCCCCGTCCCCGCGCTGCCCCTGGATGTCCCCAGCAGTGTCCCCAAACTTTGTCCCTTTGTGGTTTCCCTTTGGGGTTTCTCTCCTGGGGTTGTCCCCAAGATGTCCCCTCGATGTCCCCTTGATGCCACCCCCCCGGTGACACTCTGGTGACACTCTGGTGACACTGTGGTGTCTCTCCTGTCAGATGCCACCTCCCCGGGCCCGGCGGCGGCGGTGGCCCTGGAGCGGAACGTGTCCCCAAACTTTGTCCCTTTGGGGTTTCTCTCCCGGGTTTGTCCCCTCGCTGCCACCCCCCCGGTGACACTCCGGTGACACTCTGGTGACACTGTGGTGTCTCTCCTGTCAGATGCCACCTCCCCGGGCCCGGCGGCGGCGGTGGCCCTGGAGCGGAACGTGTCCGGGCGCTTCGAGTCGCGATTCGTCACCGTGCGCGTGGAGCCGGGGCCGGCCCTGATGCTGCGGGGCATGGAGGGGGCGCGGCTGGGGGTGTGGGTGGCGCACGGAGAGGGTAATCCAACTGGTTATACTGGTTATACTGGTTATACTGGTTATACTGGGAGGGCACTGGGGCATGGAGGGGGCGCGGCTGGGGGTGTGGGTGGCGCACGGAGAGGGTAATCCAACTGGTTATACTGGTGATACTGGTTATACTGGTTATACTGGGAGGGCACTGGGGCATGGAGGGGGCGCGGCTGGGGGTGTGGGTGGCGCACGGAGAGGGTAATTGTACTGGTTATACTGGTTATACTGGTTATACTGGTTATACTGGGAGGGCACTGGGGCATGGAGGGGGCGCGGCTGGGGGTGTGGGTGGCGCACGGAGAGGGTAATCCAACTGGTTATACTGGTTATACTGGTTATACTGGTTATACTGGGAGGGCACTGGGGCATGGAGGGGGCGCGGCTGGGGGTGTGGGTGGCGCACGGAGAGGGTAATCCAACTGGTTATACTGGTTATACTGGTTATACTGGTTATACTGGGAGGGCACTGGGGCATGGAGGGGGCGCGGCTGGGGGTGTGGGTGGCGCACGGAGAGGGTAATCCAACTGGTTATACTGGTTATACTGGTTATACTGGTTATACTGGTTATACTGGGAGGGCACTGGGGCATGGAGGGGGCGCGGCTGGGGGTGTGGGTGGCGCACGGAGAGGGTAATCCAACTGGTTATACTGGTTATACTGGTTATACTGGTTATACTGGGAGGGCACTGGGGCATGGAGGGGGCGCGGCTGGGGGTGTGGGTGGCGCACGGAGAGGGTAATCCAACTGGTTATACTGGTTATACTGGTTATACTGGTTATACTGGGAGGGCACTGGGGCATGGAGGGGGCGCGGCTGGGGGTGTGGGTGGCGCACGGAGAGGGTAATCCAACTGGTTATACTGGTTATACTGGTTATACTGGTTATACTGGTTATACTGGGAGGGCACTGGGGCATGGAGGGGGCGCGGCTGGGGGTGTGGGTGGCGCACGGAGAGGGTAATCCAACTGGTTATACTGGTTATACTGGTTATACTGGTTATACTGGGAGGGCACTGGGGCATGGAGGGGGCGCGGCTGGGGGTGTGGGTGGCGCACGGAGAGGGTAATCCAACTGGTTATACTGGTTATACTGGTTATAGTGGTTATACTGGTTATACTGGGAGGGCACTGGGGCATGGAGGGGGCGCGGCTGGGGGTGTGGGTGGCGCACGGAGAGGGTAATCCAACTGGTTATACTGGTTATACTGGTTATACTGGTTATACTGGGAGGGCACTGGGGCATGGAGGGGGCGCGGCTGGGGGTGTGGGTGGCGCACGGAGAGGGTAATCCAACTGGTTATACTGGTTATACTGGTTATACTGGGAAGGACTGGGAGGGACTGGGATCATTGGTTATACTGGGAGAGATGAGATACTGGTGATACTGGGAGCACTGGTTATACTGGTATGGCACTGGGAGCCCTGGGCTCTCACTGGTGCGTTACTGGTTTAACTGGTGGCACTGGGCTGGAACTGGTCCCTAACTGGTTTTTAACTGGTCTCTAACTGGTCTCTTACTGGTTTAACTGGTCTCTAACTGGTCTCTTACTGGTGTCCATCTTCTTTCTAACTGGTTTACCCAGTTAACCTGGTCTCTAACTGGTTTTACTGGTCTGTAACTGGTTTCTAAGTGGTCTCTAAGTGGTCTCTAACTGGTCTAACCAGTCTCTAACTGGTCTCTAACTGGTCTAACTGGTCTCTAACTGGTCTAACTGGTCTCTAACTGGTCTCTAACTGGTCTCTAACTGGTCTAACTGGTTTCCAGGCCGTTTCCAGTTCCGGCCGCCGTCGGCGCTTGACCGCTGTGTCCGCTCCGGCCTGGCCGCGCTCCGTCACTGACCATTGAGTGACCACTGACCCTAACTGGTCTAACTGGTTTAACTGGTCCCTAACTGGTCTCTAACTGGTCTCTAACTGGTCTAACTGGTTTCCAGGCCGTTTCCAGTTCCGGCCGCCCTCGGCCCTTGACCGCTGTGTCCGCTCCGGCCTGGCGGCGCTCCATCACTGACCATTGAGTGACCACTGACCATTACCAGTCTCTAACTGGTCTCTAACCGGTCTCTAACTGGTTTAACCAATCTCTAACTGGTCTCTAACTGGTCTAACTGGTCTCTAACTGGTCTCTAACTGGTTTAACTGGTTTCCAGGCCGTTTCCAGTTCCGGCCGCCGTCGGCGCTTGACCGCTGTGTCCGCTCCGGCCTGGCCGCGCTCCGTCACTGACCATTGAGTGACCACTGACCATTACCAGTCTCTAACTGGTCTCTTACTGGTCTCTAACTGGTCTAACTGGTCTCTAACTGGTCTAACTGGTTTAACTGGTCCCTAACTGGTCCCTGTCTGTCCCCAGGCCGTTTCCAGTTCCGGCCGCCGTCGGCGCTTGACCGCTGTGTCCGCTCCGGCCTGGCCGCGCTCCATCACTGACCATTGAGTGACCACTGACCCTAACTGGTCTAACTGGTCTCTAACTGGTCTCTAACTGGTTTCTAACTGGTCTCTAACTGGTTTAACTGGTCTCTAACTGGTTTCTAACTGGTTTCTAACTGGTCTCTAACTGGTCTAACTGGTCTCTAACTGGTCCCTAACTGGTCTCTAACTGGTCTAACTGGTCTCTAACTGGTCTCTAACTGGTTTCTAACTGGTTTCTAACTGGTCTCTAACTGGTCTCTAACTGGTCCCTAACTGGTCTCTAACTGGTCTAACTGGTCTCTAACTGGTCTAACTGGTCCCTAACTGGTCTCTAACTGGTTTCTAACTGGTCTCTAACTGGTCTAACTGGTCCCTAACTGGTCTCTAACTGGTCTCTAACTGGTCCCTAACTGGTCTCTCACTGTCCCCAGGCCGTTTCCAGTTCCGGCCGCCGTCGGCGCTTGACCGCTCTGTCCGCTCGGGCCTGGCGGCGCTCCGTCACTGACCATTGAGTGACCACTGACCATTACCAGTCTCTAACTGGTCCCTAACTGGTCCCTAACTGGTCCCTAACTGGTCCCTGTCTGTCCCCAGGCCGTTTCCAGTTCCGGCCGCCGTCGGCGCTTGACCGCTGTGTCCGCTCCGGCCTGGCGGCGCTCCGTCACTGACCATTGAGTGACCACTGACCATTACTGGTCTCTAACTGGTTTCTAACTGGTCTCTAACTGGTCTCTAACTGGTCTCTAACTGGTCTCTAACTGGTCCCTAACTGGTTTCTAACTGGTTTAACTGGTCTCTAACTGGTCTCTAACTGGTTTCTAACTGGTCTCTAACTGGTCTCTAACTGGTCTCTAACTGGTCTCTAACTGGTTTCTAACTGGTTTAACTGGTCTCTAACTGGTCTCTAACTGGTTTCTAACTGGTCTCTAACTGGTCTCTAACTGGTCTCTAACTGGTCTAACTGGTCTCTAACTGGTCCCTAACTGGTCTCTCACTGTCCCCAGGCCGTTTCCAGTTCCGGCCGCCATCGGCGCTTGACCGCTCTGTCCGCTCGGGCCTGGCGGCGCTCCATCACTGACCATTGAGTGACCACTGACCATTACCTGTCTCTAACTGGTCTCTAACCGGTCTCTAACTGGTTTAACCAATCTCTAACTGGTTTAACTGGTCTCTAACTGGTTTCTAACTGGTTTAACTGGTCTCTAACTGGTCTAACTGGTTTCTAACTGGTTTCTAACTGGTCTCTAACTGGTTTAACTGGTCTCTAACTGGTCCCTAACTGGTCTCTAACTGGTCTAACTGGTCTCTAACTGGTCTCTAACTGGTCTCTCACTGTCCCCAGGCCGTTTCCAGTTCCGGCCGCCGTCGGCGCTTGACCGCTGTGTCCGCTCGGGCCTGGCGGCGCTGCGTTACGTCGATGACGGCGGCGCCCCCACCGAGCGCTACCCCATGAACCCCAACGGCTCCGGCGGCGGCGTGGCCGCGCTGAGCTCGCCCTGCGGCCGGCACCTGGCGGCCATGCCGCACCCCGAGCGGGCCGTGCGCGCCTGGCACTGCCCCTGGCCCGGCCGCGGCGCGGCCGCAGGCGGCCGGAGCAAGGCCGGCGACGGGCCCTGGCTCAGAATGTTCCGGAACGCCCTCGAGTGGTGCCTGCGGTGGCCGGAGGGGGAGAAGTGACCGACGAGTGACCGCTGAGTGACCGATGAGTGACCGATGAGTGACCGCTGAGTGACCGACGAGTGACCGATGAGTGACCGATGAGTGACCGATGAGTGACCAACCAAGCCCCTGTGACACTGACCAACCCCCAAAAGAGACTGACCGCTCACTGACCATCACTGACCACCCACTGACCATCACTGACCATCACTGACCACCCACTGACCGCTGAGTGACCGCTGAGTGACTGACCAAGCCCCTGTGACACTGACCATCACTGACCACTCAGTGACCACTGACCACTGAGTGACCATCCCTGACCATCACTGACCACAAAGTGACCACTCACTGACCACTCACTGACCACCCCTGACCACTCACTGACCATCACTGACCATCCCTGACCATCACTGACCACCCACTGACCACTCACTGACCATCACTGACCATCCCTGACCATCACTGACCACCCCTCTGTGACACTGACCACTGAGTGACCATCACTGACCACTCACTATCACTGACCATCACTGACCATCACTGACCATCCCTGACCACTCACTGACCATCACTGACCATCACTGACCACTGAGTGACCATCACTGACCACTGAGTGACCATCACTGACCATCACTGACCACTCACTGACCACTCACTATCACTGACCATCACTGACCACCCCTCTGTGACACTGACCACTGAGTGACCATCACTGACCACTCACTATCACTGACCATCACTGACCACTCACTGACCATCACTGACCATCACTGACCACTGACTGACCACTGACTGATCACTGACCACTGACCTCTGTGACACTGACCATCACTGACCACTGAGTGACCACTGAGTGACCAACCCATGGACACCCTACTGTGACACTGACCATTCACTGACCACTGAGTGACCACTGAGTGACCGCTGACCATTCACTGACCATTCACTGACCACTGAGTGACCACTGAGTGACCGCTGACCATTCACTGACCATCCCTCTGTGACACTGACCACTGAGTGACCACCCCTGGCTACACTGACCACTCACTGACCACTGAGTGACCACCCCTGGCTACACTGACCACTCACTGACCACTCACTGACCCCTTGACTGACCCCTTAACCCACCCAGTGACCAGCTGACCCCTGAGTGACCAAATGACCCGAGTGACCAAGTGACCACCCCAGTGACCAGCTGACCCCTCAGTAACCAATGGAGTGACCAACTGACCACCAGAGTGACCAAATGACCACCCCAGTGACCAGCTGACCCCTGAAGTGACCGAGTGACCAAGTGACCAACTGACCCCTCAGTGATCAAGTGACCCGAGTGACCAAATGACCCTTCAATGACCACCTGAGTGACCACCTGAGTGACCAACTGACCATGAGTGACCAACTGACCGCTCAGTGACCAATGGAGTGACCAACTGACCGCTCAGTGACCAATGGAGTGGCCAACTATCAGAGTGACCAACTGACCCCTGTAGTGACCGAGTGACCAAGTGACCGAGTGACCAAGTGACCAACTGACCCCTCAGTGATCAAATGACACCTGCAGTGACCAACTGACCACCTGAGTGACCACCAGAGTGACCAACTGACCCGAGTGACCAACTGAGCACCCCAAGTGACCAACTGAGTGACCACCTGAGTGACCAACTGAGCCCTGAGTGACCACCAGAGTGACCAACTGGCCCTGAGTGACCACCTGACCACCCAAGTGACCACCTGAATGACCACCTGGCCCTGAGTGACCAACTGGCCCTGAGTGACCACATGAGTGACCAGTTGACCCCTGAGTGACCCCTTGACCCTTGAGTGACCAACTGACCCCTGAGTGACCCCCGAGTGACCACCTGAGCCCCTGAGTGACCCCTTGACCCCCGCCGGTGACCTCTTGACCCCCCGTGGAGGGGGCGTGGCATGTAATTACGAATAAAGTGCTCTTAATTAATGATTAATAATTAACGAGTCCTGAGTGATTATTGAGTGACGTCATTGGGGGCGGGGCCGGGGGAGGGGGAGGGGACCCCCAGGACCTTCATGGACCCCCCCAGTGACCCCAGTGACCCCAGTGACCCCTCACTGACCCCAGTGACCCCAGTGACCCCTCACTGACCCCAGTGACCCCAGTGACCCTTCACTGACCCCAGTGACCCCTTGACCACCCCGTGGACCCCAGTGACCCCTCACTGACCCCCAGGACCTTCACGGACCCCCCAAGGACCCTCCTGACCCCCCCATGGCCACCCATGGACCCTCCTGACCCCCAAGGACCCTCATGGACCCCCCTTGACCCCCATGGACCCTCCTGACCCCCATGGACCCTCCTGAGCCCCCCATGGACCCTCAGGGACCACCCTGGGACCCTCAGGACCTTCACAGACCCCCATGGACCCCCCTGACCCCCCCATGGCCACCCATGGACCCTCCTGACCCCCCCATGGCCACCCATGGACCCCCCTTGACCCCCATGGACCCTCCTGAGCCCCCCATGGACCCTCAGGGACCACCCTGGGACCCTCAGGGACCTTCATGGACCCTCCTGACCCCCTCAAAGACCCCCAGGACCTTCACGGACCCCCATGGACCCTCCTGACCCCTCCAATGACCCTCAGGGGCCACCGGGACCCCCATGGACCCCATGGACCCCCTTGAGGACCCCCATGGACCACCCTGGGACCCCCAGGACCTTCACGGACCCCCGCGGACCCCCCTGACCCCCTCAATGACCCCCAGGACCTTCATGGACCCCCCCAAGGACCCTCCTTGACCGCTCGGCCACCCCAGTGACCCCTTGACCCCCCCCAGTGACCACTTGACCCCCCCAGTGACCCCTCATGGACCCCAGTGACCCCTTGACCCCCCCCAGTGACCCCTTGACCCCCCCAGTGACCACTTGACCCCCCCAGTGACCCCCCATGGACCCCAGTGACCACTTGACCCCAGTGACCCCTCACTGACCCCACTGACCACCCCATTGACCTCGTTGACCCCTCACGGACCCCAGCGACCCCTTGGCCACCCCATGGACCCCCAGTGACCCCCAGTGACCCCTCACGGACCCCAGCGACCCCCAGTGACCCCTCACGGACCCCAGCGACCCCTTGGCCACCCCATGGACCCCCGGTGACCCCCAGTGACCCCTCATGGACCCCAGTGACCCCCAGTGACCCCAGTGACCCCTCATGGACCCCAGTGACCCCCAGTGACCCCAGTGACCCCTCATGGACCCCAGTGACCCCTTGGCCACCCCAGTGACCCCCGGTGACCCCAGTGACCCCTCACGGACCCCAGTGACCCCTCATGGACCCCATGGACCCCTTGGCCACCCCATGGACCCCCGGTGACCCCCAGTGACCCCTCATGGACCCCAGTGACCCCTTGGCCACCCCAGTGACCCCCAGTGACCCCAGTGACCCCTCATGGACCCCAGTGACCCCTTGGCCACCCCAGTGACCCCCAGTGACCCCAGTGACCCCTCATGGACCCCAGTGACCCCTTGGCCACCCCAGTGACCCCCAGTGACCCCCAGTGACCCCAGTGACCCCTCACGGACCCCAGCGACCCCTTGGCCACCCCATGGACCCCCGGTGACCCCCAGTGACCCCTCATGGACCCCAGTGACCCCCAGTGACCCCAGTGACCCCCAGTGACCCCTTGGCCACCCCAGTGACCCCCAGTGACCCCAGTGACCCCTCATGGACCCCAGTGACCCCTTGGCCACCCCAGTGACCCCAGTGACCCCAGTGACCCCTCATGGACCCCAGTGACCCCTCATGGACCCCATGGACCCCTTGGCCACCCCAGTGACCCCAGTGACCCCAGTGACCCCTCATGGACCCCAGTGACCCCCAGTGACCCCAGTGACCCCTCATGGACCCCAGTGACCCCTTGGCCACCCCAGTGACCCCCAGTGACCCCAGTGACCCCTCCATGGCCACCCCAGTGACCCCACCCCAGGGGCGGGGCAATGAACAGCTTTGATTGACAGCTCTGGCCACGCCCCTTTAGGGTGGGAGGGGAGTGCAGGGATGGACTGGGACAAACTGGGATGGACTGGGAGGGACTGGGATGGACTGGGAGGGACTGGGATGGACTGGGATGGACTGGGATGGACTGGGAGGGACTGGGATGGACTGGGAGGGACTGGGATGGACTGGGAGGGACTGGGAGGGACTGGGATGGACTGGGATGGACTGGGATGGACTGGGAGGGACTGGGAGGGACTGGGAGGGACTGGGATGGACTGGGAGGGACTGGGATGGACTGGGAGGGACTGGGAGGGACTGGGATGGACTGGGATGGACTGGGATGGACTGGGAGGGACTGGGAGGGACTGGGAGGGACTGGGGGGGACTGGGGGGGACTGGGAGGGACTGGGAGGGACTGGGATGGACTGGGAGGGACTGGGATGGACTGGGATGGACTGGGAGGGACTGGGATGGACTGGGATGGACTGGGAGGGACTGGGATGGACTGGGAGGGACTGGGAGGGACTGGGATGGACTGGGATGGACTGGGAGGGACTGGGATGGACTGGGAGGGACTGGGAGGGACTGGGATGGACTGGGATGGACTGGGATGGACTGGGATGGACTGGGAGGGACTGGGAGGGACTGGGAGGGACTGGGATGGACTGGGATGGACTGGGAGGGACTGGGAGGGACTGGGAGGGACTGGGGGGGACTGGGGGGGACTGGGAGGGACTGGGAGGGACTGGGATGGACTGGGAGGGACTGGGATGGACTGGGATGGACTGGGATGGACTGGGAGGGACTGGGATGGACTGGGATGGACTGGGATGGACTGGGGGGGACTGGGATGGACTGGGAGGGACTAGGAGGGACTGGGATGGACTGGGAGGGACTGGGATGGACTGGGAGGGACTGGGGGGGACTGGGAGGGACTGGGACGGACTGGGAGGGACTGGGATGGACTGGGAGGGACTGGGATGGACTGGGATGGACTGGGAGGGACTGGGATGGACTGGGAGGGACTGGGAGGGACTGGGATGGACTGGGATGGACTGGGATGGACTGGGATGGACTGGGAGGGACTGGGAGGGACTGGGATGGACTGGGGGGGACTGGGGGGGACTGGGAGGGACTGGGAGGGACTGGGACGGACTGGGAGGGACTGGGAGGGACTGGGATGGACTGGGAGGGACTGGGATGGACTGGGATGGACTGGGATGGACTGGGAGGGACTGGGATGGACTGGGATGGACTGGGATGGACTGGGAGGGACTGGGAGGGACTGGGAGGGACTGGGGGGGACTGGGGGGGACTGGGAGGGACTGGGAGGGACTGGGACGGACTGGGAGGGACTGGGAGGGACTGGGGGGGACTGGGAGGGACTGGGAGGGACTGGGAGGGACTGGGATGGACTGGGATGGACTGGGAGGGACTGGGATGGACTGGGATGGACTGGGAGGGACTGGGATGGACTGGGGGGGACTGGGAGGGACTGGGAGGGACTGGGAGGGACTGGGGGGAACTGGGATGGACTGGGAGGGACTGGGGGGGACTGGGGGGGAACTGGGGGGGACTGGGATGGACTGGGAGGGACTGGGGGGGACTGGGAGGGACTGGGAGGGACTGGGATGGACTGGGGGGGACTGGGGGGGACTGGGATGGACTGGGGGGGACTGGGAGGGACTGGGAGGGACTGGGAGGGACTGGGATGGACTGGGGGGGACTGGGAGGGACTGGGATGGACTGGGGGGGACTGGGAGGGACTGGGATGGACTGGGGGGGACTGGGAGGGACTGGG